CCCACACTGAGTACCACTGGCACCCAGCACAGTAACTTCTGAAGTAGATTTAGAAGCAGTTCTGCACCAGTAACCTCAAGTGGAGGCTTGCCTGCCAACCAAGAGCATTGCTGTGCATTGCAAGAATCCTTGGAGCCGGTGGCTCAAATCCCTCAAAGGTCACTAAGCCCTTCATCTTTTTTAAAAGTTCATTGAAAAGTGGCCCCTCTGAGCCCTGTGCCATTGACTTGGAGAATTCAGATTAAGATGACTTCTGTGACTATGGTTGTGTTGAGTCCTTTTATAACTCCCATCCCAAGGCAAAGTGGGGACTGGCTTGCTGTAGCCTCAGGTCACTGTGTTGCCAGAGTAAGGGCATTCTGAAAGTTGCAAGAAATGAGACTGTATCAGACAGTTGCAGCTGGAAGCTGGTGTTGTGGCCTGTTCTTTGCTGCTCCAGAGCTCGGGATTGGGGCAAATTGAACTACCCTACAACAAGAGAGCAGGGTTTGTCCCCCAGGGGTTTAGTGCTGCTGCTTTGCTGACGGAAAGAAGCAGGAGTTGGTGCCCTCAGTGGGGCTTTGCTAAATGCTGCATTGATGCATAACCTCACAGCTCCTCTCTGCATTAGGGGGAGTTATTATACTTCTGTGTTCTCCATTTTCCATTTAAGGGGTGAGTTCCTTATTCACCTCAAACAGAAGAGCTAAATGACGAGGTCATTAAGGAGTGATATTTCTGTCAGTGCTCCTGCTCTTTTCCCCATAGCACACAGTAGATACCTTCAGCAGTGTCTGCAGCTTGAGGGTGAGGGATATGACTCTGCAGAGTAGCTGATTTTGCCATGGTGCTCTGGCTTTCAGTGAGCGTGGCCCTGCAGATCAAAGTGCATGTGAGCACCCTGCAACAATCATGTCCTTGGCAAGCCCCAGGAGGATGAAGAGCACTCTGTAGCTGCATAATAAGGCAGGAAGCACAGCAGCTCATGGTGAACTGAGATGACTTTAAGGCTCAGCATCAGGACAGCAGAAATGAATAATGGCAGCATCACATTACCATTTAAGTAGAGACAGGAAGATTAGCAGTCAGATCATGATTTAGTTAGCCTCAGCTGTGCCAGAGGGCTCAGAAAGTTAAACGCAGGGCGGGCAGGTGAGTTTGGCCTGTGGAAAGGGTAACCAAGGCAGATGCCCTTCAGGGGGTGTTTAGTGAGTTGTCAGTGGATGACTGCTCTCAGAAGGGTCATTAGGTGACAACTGTGTCTTCACCAAAGGGAAAGTGCCCATTCTGACAGATGCTGCACACTAGGAGATTTACAGCTTAGCTCTTGCTCTGTGTTATTGTTCTGTTCTGCACTCTGATGTCTCCATTGTGCGTCCTGAGCATGATCTTCCCTTGCATCTTCTGGAATTGCCACATTTGAAGGAGCTGAGCTTACTGTATCTGCATAAAGAATGTCCACTGAGTTTTCTCCAGTACTCCCCAGCCCTCAACAGCTGTATATGAGCAGCTAGAACAGGATCTTTAAGCATCCTGAAGTATAGCAGTATTGCTTATAAAGTTAGGGCTAAAAATATCCCTTTGCATATTGCATGGGAAACCTCATAGCATGGGGTCTGCACTGGGAGTAGAAGCTGCATGGAAATCTCTTCTATTCAGTCCGTAGCTTGGGATTAAGGCAGCAAGAACATCTTTCTTCAATCCATTCCAAAGTGCTTGACTTTATGTTTTGGGAGACACTAAGTTGCTGCTGAAGTCTTGTCCATGTTAGTTCAGTTCCATTTCTGCAGGGAAAGCTGCTTCTACAGCAGAATAGAAGCACACACGGAGGAGCCTGAGTGGGAGGAATAGGTTTATCCCAAGTGTGTTATGCAGCATTGTGCCTTTAAAATCAAGAGGATTTGAGTCCCATTTGTTTTACAAGGCTGAGGTTAGAGAGTAGGTTTAAGTTTGATTTGTGATAAATTCTAAGAATTATAGAAAAAAATGCTCATAGCAGTTTTTGCTTATCTGTGCTGCAATTTTTTTTTCCTTTATTTGATGGTTTGCTTCTTTCTCTTATTGAATATAGCCTGGAGCAGTATCATTGAGGGTAGTATAGACAAAAGTATCATGGTTGTGGGGTTTTATTGTATTTTTTCCCCCTGGTACTCCAACAAGCACTGTCAATAATGTCTGCTAGGAAGGGTGGTTCTCTTTTTATTGCAAACCTGGAAAGTTCTCAGTCTATTTCACTGTCTTTCTGTTCTGACTTACCAGGGTGTCTCAGCATCCTTAATTGACAAAGAGACTTACTGGTTTTGAGGTTTTTTTTCTATAAACTGAGGTTTTCAGCACAAATGCTGCAGCATAAGGGTTATGTTCCAGTGCTGAAAGACTGATAAAATCGCTCTGTAGATGGAAAGAAGTGATGTTAAAATATATGATATGACAAAAGTAGGTCTCTTAAAAGTCACGTGCAGCATTTTACCTCTGGGCTAGCAGGAAAATTCCTGTCCTGTGATTATACAATTTTCTCTTCAGGTAACAGTTCCATACTGAGAGGGGAAGATGGGTAAATCCTTGCTCCTTACTGAAAGTTGCTTTCACCTAAAATTTTGTCTGTAGTCCTCTAGGCACTCTGTTTACTGTATGAATGGCAAATCCCAGTAACTCACTTTATGCCCAGACATAAGACAAGATGTTCCCTGGTGGGAAGCAGCTACTCCAGCAGCTGTTGTCACCTGTGCACCTGTTTGTGTTCAAGCTGCTTCCTTTGTAGGCACTGGAGAGATACTGGTGGTTTTGGGACCCTATGGACCTGGCCTGGCCAGCTTGTGGGGTTTTGGGGGTGCAAAGAGAGATCAGTTCAAGTGGAGAGATGGCTGTACTGTATCACCCATTGCTCAGGCAACTCCCCAGCCCCTCCTTGTGTTAGAGGACTCGGTGCTGGCTGTGCACCTCCCTGCACTTCTGTGTTTAGTTCAAGTAGCTAAAGGTACACAGAGGTGCAGCTTCTCACCAGCACTTCTCTGCTGTAGAAAGAGACCCAAGAAGATGAAGGAACCAGAGAAGGAGAGACCTGTGTGTCTCCTGAACGCTCTCTGATCCTTCGGTGGCTGGAAGAGATATTTTTTTTTGCTACAGGGCATCCTATATGAGTGTGGGCAGGCTGTTCCTGCCGAAGAGGATCTGTGCAGTGAGGAGAGACAGGAGCTCTGCTGCTTTCAGGCTGTTAGGGCCAGGAGGAACATGGTTTTGTGTATGGCTGAGAACTCTGCTTCACTCCCTTTGAGTTTTACTTTTGAGTTTGGGTGTGAGCCTCAAAGTTCAGCAAAACCAGGTCATGTAACACATGATTTCCCCTCCAACTTGTCCCTAGGTAGGCCGTGACTCAGAAAAGGCTGGCATTATGAGGAAAGCAGTTGTTAAAGCTGCCTAGGTGTCTGTCAGGTCAGTAACAGAAAGGAACCCTGGGGATTACCCTGTATTTGCTATGGTGATACAGCCTTCTGGTGCAAGTGTTTGCATCTATAGAAAGGATGCAAGAAGGCATCAGGGGATCTTGGGTGCTATTTTGATAAACTCTGAAAATGTCATAAGTTATAAATAATAAGCAGATTTGGTCAGTGTTTTACTTGGTAGGCTATTTAGTAAAAGTGGGAGACATTTTCCTGTTCCAAAATTATTTGCATGGTTGAAATATAGTTTGTATCCCTAAGAAGGAGGAAAAGATGCTATTCTAATTCTATCCTGTAGCTAAGTCATCTTCCAAAAAAAAGAGATAAGGTCAGGGTTGTTTTCTCTCCCCGCTCCTCTTCAGAGAGCTTTAAGAAAAGACCTCCCCACTTCTCCAGCACACAGAAAGCCTCAGACTGCAGGAGCATCTTCTAAATCTCTCCTTCAGGGAGCTCTTCCATTTCATGCAAAGTACTTAAACATTAAAATTTAACCAGCTAGTAAAATTGAGGCTAAGATTCATTCAGGGACTCAAATGTAGGTGTCTCATATCAAAGAGTGCCTATTAGTGCCTTTACTATTGTGGTATTAGATAAAAGGGAGGAAGGGGATAGACTTGAGGAGGGTGGTGCAGGCACCTGAGAATGCAGGTGCCTGAGAATGCAGATTTTCATTTCCTCTAGCTTTGATGTGCTTTTCTAATGAAAAGCAAAGTTAAATCAAAATAGGTAATTCATTTAGGTAAGAAGAATGAGCTAAGTGTTTTGCTAGGTGTCATTTTGACATATATTGGCTTGACCAACACTAGCTCTTGGTAGATGCCCAGTACTTATTTACTGTCCCAGCATTGAGTCTTGCTGGGAGAAAGCCTGACTGCAGCCTACAGCACTCACTGCACTGAAATCACATCTTTTTTAAGGCAGCATAGAAACCATCTGATGTGATTTATTCAGTGGCTTTTGTAGCTGTGAGAAAGTACCTGACTCTCCCCTGGCTAGTGTAGGGATTGCTGAAACTGAAATGCTTTGTTCCTGCAGCCTTGTCTGCATGTGAGATGCCTGCTGCTGTCAGTGCAGGAGAGCAGGGTGAGGGTTCCCCAAAGGGGAGTCGTGCAGTGATGCAGCGAGAGCGGGGCTCCGGATGGGAACATTAACACACAACGTGACCACGGTTATGTAACGACCATGGCTTATTAAACAGCCTCACTAGAGGCAGGAAAGGCAGGAGCCTGACAAGATTTTGGTGTGCTGCGCTGGATTCTTCCTGTCCATTGAGCCAGCAATAATTGGGTCTTATTTATTTACTTTTGGTGGGTGGTCACATAAAACCACAACCTCCTGTCACACAAGGAGGATCTCCTCCATCCAGTGAGTGTATCTGCTCACATGCAGTCAGCTTGCTTGCATTCCAGCAGCAGTGCCTGTGGCAGATCTTAACCTGCGTGATTACAATTGAATTTGTTTTTGATGACTTAGTTTGTGTTGGATTGGTAGGGTGACGAGCAGACAGGTGGTAAAGCTGCACACCTGCCGTGTGAAGTTCAAATTGGTTGTGCTTTTTTTCATGTTTTCCTTTTACCCTTCAGCGGGAAGGTACAAAATGTTGTAGAGACAATAGGGAAGACCCAGCCAGGGCATGGCTGGCTCATGACACACAGGGGCTGGGAAAGGTCCCTGTTGGAGACAAAGATTGTAATCTGCCAGATTGTGTGGCGCATGTTTTAGGAGGGGGATGGGGGGAAACGTGCAGGATTTTAAAACAGAGGTGGTCTGAGGTGCCCATAAATGCTTCAGAGGTCAGGTTTGGAAATGCCTTCTTCCTTTCTGAACTTTTCTCCCCAAGTCCTACAGAGTGGGCTCACATGCAGCCCTGATTTCAGCACTCAGCTGCTCGGGGTTTACACCACTGTAATACCAGTGATTTAAGTAGCTTTTCATTGGCATAAAACTGGCACTGCATGATAGTGACTCAACCATACAAAAAGCAAGGTGTTGGCTTCACAAGCAGAGTAAGAAACAATGGGAATGTTCTTTGCAAGAGCGCTAGCAAATACTCCTCTGAACAAGTGGCATATTCTAAATACATTAACTGTCTAATACTTCCATTTGGTAGGTAACTTTTAGAGACTGGGTGTTCCATAATCTGTTTCTACTGCACCAAGTATGCATTTCATTTTATCTGCTCATCTGATCTCAATTATATTTGCCTGTATGTCTGTGTATTTTATATGAATATTTTACAACCATGCTTGAAAGGAATCACTGAAAGCAGTCTTACCTGCCAAGCACTTTTACATTTACTCAGGGCTTAAAAGGGGACAAGCAAATTGGGTCTCGTGCTACTCGGTATATCTGGTAATAATTATTATTTTTATTTTGCAGAACCCCAGCTGAAAGGAATTGTGACAAGGTTATTCAGCCAGCAGGAATACTTCCTGCAGATGCACCCAGATGGTACAATTGATGGGACCAAGGACGAAAACAGTGACTACAGTAAGAAAAATTAGCCTGTTTTGCAACCCAATTACAATCAAATGCATCACCTAGTGGGTCTCACTTGTGCAGCTTCATTTTTGAAAAGATCAAATTAGGAGGAAGACAGCTGTTTTCTGCACATTTTTTTTTCTATCTCTCCGTCCCCTTTAAATCTTGCCAGTATAATTTCATATGTTTCCTCTCCGATCTTCTTCCCTCCTGCCCCGATTCTGTAACTGCCATCTGGGTGGGGTGGAGAATAAAACCCATGATTTGAATTGCTGCCAGAAGAGAAAGGAGATTATATTTATACACATGCCACGTGGGTAAAGGATACGGGGAATTCTCTCTGCAAGGAGAAGAGGAGAAAATCGTTTTCACTATTTTAGCCTCAAAAATTCAGCAAGCATCAGGAATTTCTAGGCTGGAGAAAAGCAGCTGTTCACTGAAGTCTCGTGCTTTGAGGCTGGTGTAAAGGCTGAGGGTATCAAATGACCTTGTCAAAGGAGGTCATCTTCTAAAACCATGTTCAGAGGGTTTGGGTGTAGGCTGGACAACAAAGGGCAGCAGAGCCACACAATTTAAAAACCATGGCCATGTGCAGGAGCCATACTGGTTTAAATGCATACAAAGCATTCGTCCATCTTCCTTATGAAGAGGAAGTCGTTTTGTCAATGCCAAAGCTCTTCAAAAGGTTATAAAAGGTGTAGAATATTTTCTGCAGCATCTCTGCATTTCATAGGCATCAGAGTACCATCCCTGAGTGGGCAGTTAAGCTCAGGTCCTTGCTGCCACAAATTGAGAGTAGAACTCAAGTCTTGCTTTTTCTTATCTATGTTGGTTTGCAGTTCCCTGTACTACTGTTAGAGGAGTATTTAACCTGGCCAGCTTGGAATTTGGCTTCCCAGACATTATTAGAGGTGAACAGAAGTTCATCTGTGTGGTAGGATTGATGGAAGCAAACTTCATGTACTTTGTGAAAAGAGGAGCCTGCTTGATTTGCAGACAAATTTTGGTGTAATTCAAAGAAGCTCCTAGCTGGATTGAACATGGCATTTCTCCAGGAAGGCAGGGCCTGGGCTGCAGGTGAGGGGTATCTGTAGGGGTGCAGCACATGTAGCACATTGACACTGTTCTGTGAAGGTGCACTTGGACAGGGGTGCAGGGTGGCTGTAGCCCCACATCCCTGGTGTCTGCCACATCCCCAGGAAGCTGCAGAGAGCTGTAGCAGGAGCATGGTGTGTTCTGGGGCTGCCTGCTGCAGGCAGCTCAGGGCTGGGGGTCCACACAGCAGAGAAGGAGCTGTGGGAAGACGGTGACTGAAATTGCAGGTAGCTGGCAAAGCCCTCGTGGAATGACCCAAGAGGCTGCATCCAGAAATGTGGCCTGTATCAAATGTAAATGTCAGGTTTTAGTCCTTTTACATACACTGATACTGAACAAATTAAATATTGCAAATTGCAAGAAGACAATTTCTGATTTATGTGTGGAGCAGGAGAATCTGTGGACTTACACACACACACTTCTACACTCAGAGACTCAGGAGGTCTCATTCAAGAAGAGTCTGGCCTTGAGATACTCTCTGAAAGACACCAACACATGGGGTGAGTTCAGTGGGCTGTATTAGCTTCTTTTTCATAAAGGAAGAAGACCTGGGGTGTTCTTAAGCTGCAGAAAATCCCACTGGAGCCCTATTTGTCAAAAACATGGGAAGATATGCTAGAGATGACAGGGATTCATTGCCCTCATCTATCACGGAGGACTAAACAACAAAGTAATGGGCTTAAATGGGAGCAGGGATAAATTTAGGTAAACAGCAGAGAAATGTAAGAGCAGTTCTGCAATATTTCAGACTGACAGGGGAGATGAGGGAAGCTGCTGCACATTCAGTGGTTGCAGGGGAACCTCCTGAGTTCCCATGGCTAGGTTGGGCCCCAACTGCCCTAAGAGCTGTGATTTATACATCACTCCAGAAATGTCAGAGATGAGTTTGGTCGGGTGCTGAGCACCTGAGAGCTGCTTCCATCCAGTCTTCTTATCTGGAAATAGATGGGCTGAAGTACACTTCTGGAGTATAAATATCTGGTGAGATGGCAGCCCTGCCTCGGCAGCTTGGTGGGAGAGGAGGCATCTCAATGAAGTGTGCCAAGCCACTGGCTCAGAGTCAGGGACTATGCTGGAAAGTTTAGGCAAGTTTTTGAGAGAAGATTGAAGCCAAAGAATTCCCCATCTTCTGATCTCAGGGGATTTCAAAAGAGGGAAAGAATCCAACCTGATAATACTTGGCTCCTGAAAATGAAATTAGGACAGTGCTTTATTCAACTTTATATTACTTTTTACTACATGGTCTCGTCCATAAATCTTGAGTTTGAATGAACATTTCAGAATATGTGAAGCTTCCAGTTACAGCTTCAAAATGAAATCACATTTTTCACTCTGGAAGTACCAAAAGAAAGTCAAAAGTTACTTGTCCAAGTAAACAGCTTACAGATTGGCTTCATTGCTGTTTTCTGTTTTGAAGTGCTTCTCCAGAAGGTTCCTGACCAGCCAGTCAGAAGTGTGTGCAAGAGCAAAACTCATCAAAGACTAGATAAATAGTATTTTCCCATCCCTGAAGAGGGGTTGGTTAACTTGCATCCAGAGCAGGAAGGGGCACTCTTGAGAGCCAGAGGAGGATCCTTCCCACCCTAGATGACCACCTATTCTCCATGCAGAAGTCATCTTGGCGCAGTTAAACAGCTGGTGAACACCGTGTTCCATACATTGCTTTGTGTTCTGTACCCCCACACTGATTATTCAAATTAACATTGTGAAAGGATGCATAATTTTCATGGAATACATTAGGTTGGTTTACTCTGGCAAAATAAACGTTTAAAATGAGACACGCCATGTCCCTCAGATACATCTGATGCAATTAGAAGTTCTAATAAAAACCCAGTTATTTATACAAGAGGAACTGCTAATATTTAAGCAATTTTTAAATTAATTATCTGTTGCCCATTTTTTGTGTGTTCTTGAAGCTGGTGGCATTTATTTTCCACCTCCTCTCACTTAAAGAAAAAAAAAAACCCAGAAAAAGCCAAGTTCTAATGGCATTTGAATGGGCATCCAGCCAGCTTCCCAGGAGCCAGCACTTGGGACATCTGTTCCTTCTGCCATGCCGTTAGAGACGTGCCATTTCAATGGAAGCAAGGGGGCACATTCTCTGGCTGCTGGAACTGGGATATGTGAAGTTTTCGTCCTACTGGAGTGCATTTTCATGGTATATGAGGCCCCTGTTTGTGTTCCTCCTGTGATGTGTGACCCCCAACTTGGGGCCTATCTTTCCTTCCAGCTCCAGTGATCTCAAATGGCCTTTCATGGCTCAGTGCTGCTGTCAGTGCTTGCATTGTTACTGCTCTCCCCTGGGCTGAGCAGGGTAATGCCTCGTCTGCCCACATCATCCTGCCGAACATCTGAAAAGCTTTGGCAAATGGACAGTACAGAAAGGATAGGTGACCTGGACTGACCAGGTCGAAACAGCCCAGCATATCTAGGGTATTGTTTGGTGCTTTCTAGCTAGATATTGTTTGGGGCTTTCCAGCCAGAAACACCAGAAGATTAAGGAGGCTTGCATTCCAGCATCCCACTTGGGTTATCTTCAGCTGTATGGAGCCTTGTCAACTTTTTTCAAACTTTTCTAGGAATGAGCTATTCCATAACCTCTCATAAACTCTCAGGTTCCAGTGCTGCACTATTCTCTTTGTACTTTGTAGAGAATTTTTTTCATGTCCAGTCCTCATTTCTATTTGAGGCTTTTGTCTAGTGCCTCGTGTCTTTTCATTGTGTTCCTCTGAGAAGAATCTGTCTGTGGCTTTCCCATCTTTGAGTTAAGCAAATGCAGTTCCCTGTTTCTTCTTTTGTTATGTATTGCACCAGAGTCTCTTGATCATCTCAGCAGCCTTCCTCACTCCCCTCAGGATCTTAATCCTCATCACCTCATGCACTGAGGCTGCTCTGACCCTATTGCATCTTCCATTACTCCTTTGTTATTTGTGTGCAACACAAATGTCTTGCTCAGGAATAAACCACTTATTATAAATGACTAGCTCATCTTGCTGCTGTGCATATGGACCACACCTTATATATGGCAGGTCTTTCCTCACTCTTCATTTCTGTAGATAATTTAGACCCATAGGGAAACATGCATTCAGAATTTATCTGATAAATTACTATAACATAATAGTGACAATATATTCATGCATTTAGGAGTGGAGTGTGGAGTACTAGGGTCAGGTGTAAATACCACTGGTTGAAGATGGTAAGTTGTAAAGAAAGAAAAGAGGCACAAATATTAAACATCTTCAAGTTTTTTTCTCTTTTGCCCATGAAGTAAAAGAGCATGTCTCTTCCATGAAGCTGCAGATGCCATAGAATATGTGTCATTTGCAGCAGAGAAATGGTTTTAAAAGATTTTTTTTAAATGTTCTCTTTTTCACATTAGCACACCCAGTGTCCAGTTGTATTCTACCACAGCTAGACATCTTTCCTGTTTTCAAATCTGTTGTTCCAAATGAATCAGATTTTTTTGTTTTCGGACAAAAAATGAGACAACTAGCTTTTGAGGTTGATTGAGGGGTTTCACCCCATTTTTTACATTCTTGCAATAAAGCCTATAAGTTTTTAAATCTGTTCTAAATATGAAATACTTATTTGAAAGCATGACAGTAAAAGACATTAACTTCTACAAAGGTATTTCTAGATTTGAGTGCAGACACAGCTCTGGGAATTTACAAACTCTTGATTGGCCCAAACTGCTGGTTTTTTTTAAATTGAGGAAGATACTTCCTTCCTAAAACTTCTTCTGACTGCCAGTAACCTCTGCCATCTTTGTGTCTTTATGCTTGCCTGCCCACTTGCTCCCCTGCATTTGAGGAAGAGATGCTCTGCCACGATGGTGGGTGCAGCAGGGTCCCAGGGAGTTTGGGAACTGGCAGTGGTCCTCCTACTGTGGCACAGCACAGTAGGATTGTTCCTTTGATCCCTTTTCATGTAGAGGTGGAAAGAGATTTGGAAACACATGGGTGCTTCCAAGTGGAACTTCTCAACCACTAATTCTTGCTCTATGCAAGGTGTTATCACCTTGCTGCCTAATGAATGCTTTGAATGGTCTGTCACAAGTTTTCTATGCAAGACAAATTGGCTGTAGGAAATGAATGATGATGCCCATTTTGTTTCATTATTAGCAGTAATATGCTCCATTTTTCAGTAGGAGGAAGAAATAGGGAAGGGGAATTGCTTATAGTCTTCTTAATTGCAGAAGGTTTTAGACCTTCATTATATGGAGAAAGGGATAGGCAAGATTTGTAATGCTTAGTAGTTACTCTGGGATGTGTTTGTCTTTTCTAGGGACAGTACCAGAGTAGCAGTCCTTGACTCCAGTTATATTGACCAATACCCAGCCTGGATTGCATTTTCCATATCTGTCTACTGACATTCTCCTCCAAAAATACACATACAAGCACTGGATTTTGTACAACTTCAGCACATTCTTTGGTGTTTTACTGAATAGGGTGCTTAAAAACACAAGAAGGGGCTGAGATGAGAGTAAGGTTTTTTTCACTAGACTTGAGGTGTCTCCAATTTAGGCAGTTCATTGAAGGAAGTCATCCAGTCTTCCTTGGGAATTAAGTGAAGAAAAAAACTATATATTCATGTTCACTGAAATTTATGGGTCCTCTTTTGAAGGCAGCCCTGCTCAGCCAAGGCACCTGGTAGATGTCCTGAGCAAAGTGGCATTGCTTATTCGTGTTTCAGGGCTGTTGTGTGGGAAGAGACCTTGCATGAAGTATTTCCACTGTGTGCTTATATTTCTGCCTGACCCTGTGTCCATCTTTCCATACCTTCAGGTTCCTGGGATGAGTTCTAATTAGCTCTTTGTAAGCTGAAGCACAAGGGATCCTGCAATATCTAAATACTCTTGTCCTGTAAAGCTCAGTAGAAACAAAGCCATGCTAATTCTTCAGTGCTCAGTCTATCAGTACTGATAACAGTCTCCTCTTTGAGCCCATGCTGTTAGAAATGTAGCAAAAGCCTGACAGTACATTAATGTATATACTCATGGGAAGAGTCTTTCAATAAGATACAGGGTCTGCTGGGTGGGAATCAAGCAATAAAGTAATTAACTGAGAGGAAGTTGCAATGCTTTAATCAATGAGACTGCAGTAAAACCAAATAATGGAAGATCTTGTCCTCTTCTGTCCTCTCCAGTGCTGATCCTGAATGGGGAGCAGTACTGACATCCCAGAGTGGAGCACTATCCTTGAGTTTCTTCATTCCCTTGACAGCCCAGGATCACATGGGCAAACACAAAGTCAAGTTAATTAGCATTCTTCTGGCCATGGTTGCTGTCTGTGTACTCCTTTTTAGCATATGGAAAATGCAGGAAAGTGTGACTAGGCTTAAATGTGTTTCAGGGTGAGCTAAACTGAGTTGTGTTGTTGCGTTTGCCACAGGCAAAATCTGTGTATGTGCAGTTTCCCTGGCTCAGCTGGCCCTCAGAAAGCCATCATGATGCTCTTGCTTGGGAACACGGATGAGCCCTTGGCATTGCAAAGGCAGTGATCAGACAGACTGATGGGTGTGTTAAGGCATTTGGGAGGCAGCCCAGACTCAGTACTTTTAAAAATTTCTTTCCACTATCAGCTTCATGGCTGCAGTCCTTCCCTGTAGCCAGAAGCAGGATGCTTAAACCTAGTGCAGTCTCTCTTGTGAAGAGGCAGGAGTGGGGTGGGCTGGCCCTGGGGCAGGAGCAGCTGTGGCCATGTAGGATGATGTGTCCATAACATTTGCTTTTCTTTTCCTTCCACAGCCCTTTTCAATCTAATTCCTGTGGGTCTTCGTGTGGTGGCAATCCAAGGGGTGAAGGCAGGTCTGTACGTTGCCATGAACGCTGAGGGATATCTCTACAGCTCAGTAAGTACTTTGCACTGTTGGGCTCCTGGAGTGCCTTGGTTTTGTAGGTGGGAGGAAGCAGACTGTGCTGGGACTTCAGCTTTTTCTGAATACAGTCACGTATCAGCAAACCTTTAAAAGCAGGAGCAGGGGGAGTTGCTGCAAGACCATGCAATATTCACTTCAAAGTGTCTTCACGGAGATTCATGGCAATATTTCCTGACCTGTGAAGATACACTTTCTGTTCCTTTAAGTATGTATTTAATATAGGTCACGTTGTTGAGGCGTTTGTATAGGGTTGGCTGGTCGTATTCTGATTTCTCATTTGTGAAATGGCATGGACTCAATGGGATTGCTTCTGAATTGCCCCCAGATACCTGATCATAGGTGGTGCCCCAATGAGTGTGACCCAATGGGTCATGCTTCGCTTTTTACTGCAGTGTAAATTCACAGCAATACCCTGTCTCTCTTAAAAGGGTTCTGGACTATTCTGTTGGCAGAAATTCCCTGTATTTGTGTGGTCTTTTTAATGCACATAAAAGATAAGTGCAGCATTTTTTTGCCAACTAATTCCCTTATAACTTTCTTAGATGGCATGAAAGGGCATGAGGTTATTCATAAGATTCTCATTTAAAGTATGTAATTGATTTTCACAGTGAATAATTGATTCAGTGATTTATTAAATATGGCAGCCCGTTTGCCAGAATTTTTATGCTTCAAATAACTTTGTTCTAGTTCTACATAGTAAAAAGTGATAGTTAATAATACACTTCTCATTTCTGTAGTTATGATAGCTTTACAGTGCATAGCCAGATTCTAATCTCATCTGCCTTTGTGTAAATTTATAGTGCAGTGATTCTGCTCTTGTCTGGGCACTTACTTTGCTTCAAAAGTGTATGTGAGCATGGAGATGGGACCACTGAAAGGGCAGCAGTTTGGGTTGCTCTGTGCAATTTTTCGTAACTTTTTTCTTCCATCTTTGTTCCTGGTCAGTTTTATACCACCCACATGATTGGGATTTCCCCTTTTCCCTTGGGATGTAATGAGGCTCTGTCTCCCCAGCAGCTCGGGGTAGAGAGCAAGTGGATGTGTTAGTATGCCTGGCGAGAGAGGTCTCAAAACTGGCTGCTTGTCAAGGAGAGACAGAGAGATCAATCTGGATCTCTGTGGATGCCAGACGCTTCCTGTTCTTTCATAGCCCAGTAAACATAATTGACTGCTTCTAAATAAATTAAATTGGTTTACTAACAATGAAAACTTCCTCTTTTTGTAAAGCTATCAGAATCCTAAAGGTAATATCAAGCCTGGTGTGATACTGCATTATTGTGCGTGTGTCCCTCTGGGCACATTGTCAGGGGCTCAGGACTGATGCTTTGCCCCGTTTGTGCAGTGCAGAACACGGTTCTGGCCTAGTGCTGAGGCTCCTTGTACCATCAGGGTCCTGTAAATGAGGGTTGTAGGAAATCAGAATGTGTCACAGAGCCACAGCCAGCCAATGGGGTCCTCTTGGACCAATGACTGGTCATCATTTTCTGAATAAATAGTGCAGGGGAGGGAAAGGTGTGGGTCTTGGGAAAAAAGAAGAAACAGAGAGTTGGAAAAATAATGTTTGACAGCTGAGAGATGAGAGGAGATACAGAGAAAAATTCTCTCTCTCTAGTAGCAGTGAGACACGATGTAAGGGGTGGGAGGGACACTCCAAGAGGTAGTAGACAGCAGGAAGACCGTGCTGTCCAGGAAACACATCTGTTAGTCATTTCAAGTATCCTAAAAGGCACCAGATCACACATGTATTCAAGTGAGGGTGGTTTAATGGGCCTGCTTGTTTCCAACGAGTGTGCCTGTCTTGAGTAGGAAGGTTAATCAGGGAAGGCTGATGGGGAAGGATGCACTGTGATGGCCAGTGGTTAATGAAGTGAACCTCATTACATGCCACAGCTTGATGGCATTGAGCTGTCCGAGCTAATAAGAGTGAAACTGTTATTAAAACTGTATTTTATCAATGTGATCCAAGGTTTCTGCTGGCAGTAAATGGGTGATACTCTACTCCAGGGAGATGGACCTTTTTGGATACTTTCCTTGTGATGACTGGTGGCTCTGTCTTTGTCTTACAGCCGTAAATCAATTAATTCACTGTGCTGGGGAGCAAACCCCACGGCAAGAAAATAGAAAATTTGTGGATAAAATGTGTTAGGAGCAGGGAGTGTGGATCAAGCTCATCATGAAGGAGAAGGGATGAGATCAGGATGCCATGAAAGAATTGGATATGTCTGAGAAGAGCTCAACCTGTTCAGACAATCTCTTTTGGATACTGCAGGTTTCCTTGTGGGGTGAGGGTCCCCAGGCCACGCTGCCTGGACCTCATTGCTGACCACACCAAGGGACACATCATCCCTGCTCTTTGCTTAGCAGACCCTAAACTACAGCTTTGTTCTCTCTGTGTAGGTATCTAGGTTTTTTTCACTGGCCTTTTTTGGGGGATTTCTGAAAAAATTGAGCCAGCATTCCCCACAGATACTGTTCACTCACATGAGCCGATTGATAAATTAATTGCTTGGCTGCCTTCCATGCTGCATGGAAGCCCTGTAAGGACTTCTTAGAACATCCTCAAGTCCAGGAAAGTTTCAGATAAAATTGTCCGGGGTGATATGTTTTTCTGTTTGTTTTTGGTTTGGGTTGGGGTTTTTTTCCCTTCTCTTGTACCGAGATTGATGCTGTAACTGAACATGTCTTCACTGTGGGTTTTGTTTTGTGGGGTTTTTTGGTGATGTTTAATCTCTGTGTGACAGCTGAGGTTTTGGCTGACATCCCTGCCCTGGATCAAACCGGAGGCTGTTATCAGCCTGGTCTTAGGAATGGCTTGTGCCAGCTCCTTCTGAGTTTATGCCAATGGGCTCTGAATGAATGGGCTTAGAATAACCAGCCCCTGGAAGAGTCTTCCTTGTGTTGATTAGCACAAAAGTAGGGCTGAGTAGAGTCCTCTAAAGTCAAATGTGGTGAGACAGCACTTCGTAGAAACTTGGGAGACCTTCCAATGGCTTGGCCACATCGCTACCTTCAGGAATGAGTTTCCTCATCCCTACCTCATCTGTTCAGGCAGGGATAGTGTCAGGCTGGATTGCTGGGTTGAAGCCAATCATACATTCCTAGCCAGCTTTAGAGGCCTAAATTTACACACTAATAAATTACATGCTAAACTTTCTTTGTTTGGGAAGCAGATGTTTGAAATTGTGCATTGTTTACTTACATTAGATACCTGATTTTGTTTCCCCCAAACAAGGCTATAGCTGTCTCTGAGGTTGATGTGGGAATTAGGTGTTAAGTAGACAAGAAAATCATGTTCTGGCTGGAGGCATCTCTGCAGAAAGTAGGATGCAACCCATTGTTTGTATGGCAAGCTTGCAGAGTCTTTGGTGTGTTCCCTTTTGATTTCCTGTAATGTACAGCAGCTGTAAATTCCCTGATGATGCACAAAGGTTTACATCCCCACTTGTTCTGGGGAGGGGCATGACTCTCCTGAAGATCCACTGTTAACATTAATACCAAAGTGAAAATGCACAGAATTCAGGGCAGTGGGTATAATTTGTAGTGCCTCAGGACTTGTGAAGAAGCTGAGACCATGGGCTGGTTGTTGCACAGGATTCAGAAACGTGGATAAGGAGGTCTGTCCCACTCCAGTGAGTTTACAGCCTAATTGTAACGTGAGAAGACTCAGAACATGCTCTCCTGTCTGTCTGGAGTTAATAGTTCCACCACCAAATTAATTTCCATTAACTTTTCTTTGTGAACTTTTCTTTGTGTAGTTTTGTGTAGCTCGGTTCCCAGCTTTCCCTCTATTATTCCTCCAACAACACACAGGGCCATGGGAAAGGGAGTACGTCTGAAGTACTTGGCTTGGGAGGCAAAGCTAGTTCTCCTGGAGCAGATCATCACAGGACTGTAGAATCTCCACAGGTCCACCCAATCACTCCAAATACACTGAAAATCTCTCAATATGATGATATGTATAATTCAGTGGCATGGCAGCTGGGATGGGTTTTGCCCCAGGTGCAAAACACTTCTCTTCTAAAATGTATTGCTCTCACATATTCCTTGTTGTTTAACTCGGAGTTCTAATTATTTTTGAAATGGCAAATTGTGATACATAATTTATTGGGAAAACGTAGAAAACCCTAGCAGAGATAGAAAATGAGAAAAAAATGGGTCGCTTACAAGAGCTCACTATGGTTTTTCAGTATAAACCTGTGAGTTTGAAATGCTGAAATTAGAGCCTGAATCACTTCAAAGATTCCTGCTAATAAGGGAATGATTATGCACAATAAAAAAAAATAAAATCCAAGCAGCATTGAGAAAACCCCAGTCATGCTGAAAGCTCAGTGTGTCTTTGCATTTTCTTTTCCTCTCCTTTTTTTTCTGCTTTATCATTTTGCATAATAAACATGTCTTGAATAATAATGAACAAGCATCTGGGGAAGTATGTATATTAACTGTATTTTTAATCTGCTTGCGATGCTATAACTATTTTGCTACAACTCCTTTAGGGTTGCTGCACTCCTGTTTACATCACTCCAAGGTCAGGGGCTGGAATCAGCAATGCTGCATTCTCTCCCCTAATAGGCTTGGGGTGTTAAACCTGTTCCTGCCAATGCCATTCCTTTAATACCTGTTTGATCTCCAGTGGTACTAGTTGATTTGGTCAGAAGTACAGCTAGCCAGGCCAGATAGATATCCTGGACATATTGCAAACCTTGTAAGAAGGCACACTTGTTGAGGGGATTCCCTAGTTTACATGCCTCATTAGGGAGCCAGGTCAGTGGAGGGAGAGAGAAATGACTCCAAAGGCAAAGCACAGCAGGAGACCAGGGTAATGTGCCTTTAATTTCTCTCCAGAATATCTGCTCTTCTTCACTGGCTGTTTAAAGGGGCTTGCTGAATGAAGGCATTAACTGGGAGATAAAAAACTCCTCCTGTCCCCTGACTTTTTCATAACTATGGAAACAAAATGGGTATGCAAGGAAGCA